CCCCACCGGGCCTGTTTAGGCTTCTGGGTCTTCATTTATTTATTTACTTATTTTTATTGACTTATTTATTTTTTTATTTTTTAGAGAGGAAGGGAGAGGGATAGAGAGCTAGAAACATTGATGAGAGAGAAACATCAATCAGCTGCCTCCTGCACACCTCCCACTAGGGATGTGCCTGCAATCAGTGCATGTGCCCTTGACCGGAATCAAACCCGGGAACCCCCAGTTCGCAGGCCAACTCTCCATCCACTGAGCCAAACCGGCCTCAGCGAGGCTTCTGGTCTTTGGAGCCACGTTGGTTCTGGTGGGGGCACAGCCAGCCAATAGGGATGCACCTGGCCTTCACTGGGGTCGGGACCCTGAGGGGTGACCGTGATCTCCGATGGTAGATACACAGGCACTTACTGCTTCTTGGGAACGGGTCCCTTAGAAAACCGACGGAGCCATGGCTCTGTTCCTTAGAAAGAGGCACCTGAGTGCACCCCCCCTGAGTGTGGCACAAGTGCGGGGGGAGGCCCTGACCTGCAGAGGCACCAGGGCCTGGGTGGCTCCAGATGAGCCAGCCTGTGGCACTCGCCAGAGCCATGCCTGCTCCCGCTGCCTTCAGCCGCACCTGGGCCCAGATAGGTGTTCCCATGAACCTGGCGGCTTTACTGCTGGGACCAGGAGCAGCGTGCTTCTCTGATGAGCAGCCGGGCCCCTCCATGTGGCAGTCATTCCAGGGCTCAGGCCCCAGGTTTTCCTGTCTTATTGGCCGAGGAGTCCGGGCACGACTTGACTTCAGCTTTTCTTTTCCCAACTCCCGATTTCCCTTCCCTGCCGCCCGCAGGCCCGCCTCAGAGCAGGCTAGAGGGAGGTGCCTACAGCAGGGCAAGTCCTGGGATGAGGAGGGTGGAAGGTGAGCGGCCTTGTACCTTGTCCAGCTTTCAGATCTGGCTCCAGAACAGCATGGCCGAGGTGGAGCAGGCTGCAGCCCGGCTGCCCAGCCTCAGTAGCCGAGTCAGCTATGCCGTCCGCAAGGTCCACACTATTCAGGGTGGGTAGAAGCTGCCAGACCAGATCTGCCCTGCCCCACCCCACCCGCCAGCTGTCTGTTGCCCGTGTCCATCCTCCTGCCTTCTCAGCTGGAGCCCTTTCCTCTTTCTTCCCACCTCCCTTTCCGTTCCAAACCTGCTGCTGTCTGCCTTCCTCCCAGGTCTGATGGCTCGCAAACTGGTCCTTGCTCAGCTGCGCCAGGAGAGGTAAATTTGGGGCACTTGGAAGTGGATTGGAGGATGGTGGGGGGCTTTCAGGTGTTAGTTGTTGGGACCCAAAACAATAGGAATGAGGAGGGATGGGGTGAAGGAGTTAGGCAGCTGGGTGACCCCTCTCCCACTCTGTCTCAGCCACCTCCCAGCCCCGCCGACCAAGGAGGTGAGCCTTGAGTTGGAGCAGCTGCGGGAAGAGCGGAACCGCCTGGATGCAGAGGTGCAGCTCAGTGCCCACATCATCCAGCAGGAGGTGGGCCGGGCCCGGGAGCAAGGTACGCTTGGCCTGGGTCCCTGTCCAGCTGGGACAGAGGCAGCGCGCTGGGGGCTGCGGGCTGGGGCCGAGGACATGGAGAGGACGGAGGAATCCTGAGCCCACCCCTTTCCAGGGGAGGCGGAGAGGCAGCAGCTGAGTGAGGTGGCCCAGCAGCTGGAGCAGGAGCTGCGGCGGACCCAGGAGTCCCTGGCCAGCGTGGGGCTGCAGCTGGAAGCGGCTCGCCAGGGCCAGCAGGAGAGCACGGAGGAGGCTGCCAGTCTGCGGCAGGAGCTGACCCAGCAGCAGCAGGTCTACGGGCAAGGTGAGCAGCAGGGAAATGGGCGTGGAGGGGGGTCCATGAGCCCCAGCTCCCCGACGCCCCATGTGCACCTTCACCCAGCTCTGCAAGAGAAGGTGGCGGAAGTGGAATCCCGGCTGCGGGAACAGCTCTCGGAAGCAGAAAGGAGACTGAACGAGGCCCGGAGGGAGCACGCCAAGGCTGGTGAGGCTCGTGGGCTGGACGTGGGTGTCCAGGAAGACGGAGGTGTGCAGACAGGTTATTTTAGAAGCTTTCTGTGAAGCTCCTTGGAAGTATGCGGGTGATGGAGTTACTAGGGAACGGTCAGCTGAGTTCTCCGGGAAAGCACCCCGATAGCCAGCACCCTCCTCAAAGGCGGCGCCCCTCCACGCCTCCCACCGAGGAACCCCAGCTCTTCATTAGGAAAAATAAGGGAGGACAGTCCTGGGACGAGCGCCTGCATCGTCCTGCGCCTCCACCCCGCCCTCACTCACCTGCCACACTGGTCTGCACACACCACCAGACTCACTTCTGGGGAGCCTGTGAACTACAAGCATCATGGTGTTGACCTGCCTCCTACAGAGAGGAAAGTGTCCCACAGAGGCTCAGCGCCATCACGACACTGGTGAAAATGTACATTTGTTGGACAAAATGTCATACTCAGCTCATATCCAGACTTCCCCTCGGTTCCGGAAGGTTCTGGTGGGGAGCAGATTCACAGGGTCCTGGAGCGACAACCGCTCTCCCTGTACTGAAGGGGCGGTCACCAGGCTGCGACCAGGCTCCTGCCCATCATCCCAGGCTGGTTTCCATGGTGCCTCGCGCCCTCCGGGAGCCCACACCTGTCCCCTGTCCCCCAGTGGTCTCCCTGCGCCAGATGCAGCGCAGAGCCACCCGGGAGAAGGAGCGCAACCAGGAGCTCCGGCGCCTGCAGGAAGAGGCCCGGAAGGAGGAGGGGCTGCGGCTGGCCCAGCGCCTGCAGGAGCTGCAGAGGGACAAGAACCTCCTGCTGGTAGGGGAGCGGGCCGGCTGGTCGGGAGCAGAGGCCTGGAGAGAAGAGGGGGAGGCTGCCCTGCTAGGCGGTGTTGAACCCTCTCCTTCCCAGGCCACCTTGCAGCAGGAGGGTCTCCTCTCCCATTACAAGCAGCAGCGGCTGTTGGCAGTTCTTCCTCCCCTGGATAAGGAGGGGTCTGTGCAGCCCAGCCCTCTGCCGGCAGGGCCGCAGGCACCTCCAGCAGCAGCGCCTGGCCCCAGGGCAGCCACTAAAGGTAGTGTCTAAATGGGAAGAGATAGACGGGGTGTGTGTGTGTGTGTGTGTGTGTGTGTGTGTGTGTGTGTGCGCTTCTGGAATCTCCACCCCACACACTCCCGTGCATGAGCCTTGTTCTCTGACACTTTATTCACATCTGCCATGGACCTGAGCAGTTCCTCCCTCAACCCCCTGCCCGCCCCCCCCCCCCCCCCCCCCCAGGGGCAGCCCTGCTCCTCTGCACAGGACCTCATGACCTTCTCTTGTCTGGCTCCCATCCCCTGGTCTTTCCCAGAATCCCTCTCCATCCTGCTGGATGACCTGCAGAGTCTGAGTGAGGCCATTTCCGAAGAGGAGTCCGCTTCTCAAGGAGACAGCCAGAACTCTCCCGCAGCCAGGCCCGCGGAGTGCCTGGGTGCTCAGAGGGGCCCAGCGGGCCGGGAGGAGCGTGAAATGGGGTGAGGTTTGCGGGCCTGCCCTCGGGGATACCAGCCACCAAGGTGTCTGGATTCTGTGCCTCAATAAAGATGACTAAATAGCCTAGCCGGTTTGGCTCAGTGGATAGAGCATCTGCCTGCAGACTGAAGGGTCCCAGGTTCAATTCCAGTCAGGGCACAAGCCTGGGTTGCAGACTCGATCCCCAGTGTGGGGCGTACAGGAGGCAGCTGATCAATGATCTTCTTGCATCATTGATGTTTCTATCTCTCTCCCTTCCTCTGAAATCAATAAAAATATATACATTTGAAAAGATGACTGAATGGAGCCGTTGCACGGATGTCTTGTGTCTGGGGTGCTCCGTGCACTGCCGCTGGAACGAGGAGGTCCCACACAGGTGCCTTTTCCAACCCCTCTCCTCGTTGCTGGGGAGCTGTTTGAGCAGTGCCAGGTTTCTTTATTCTCTAGGTTACCTCTGGGAGGCAATCGGTGCCGGAGTGAGGAGGATAAACCTTCACCCCCTCGGCAGGCAGGGCCCCGGGAGAGCCCATGGACCAGTGCCCACTGAACAACCAAGTGCTGGGAGAGAAGGAAGGAGGCCACGTGACGGGCGCTGGCGGGGGACAGGGCGGCCCTGGGGTGGGTCAGGCTGCTGAGCGGAGGAGTCCCCGCGGGGAGTGTGAGGCGCGCTGCAGGGCACGCTGGAGGCTCACCCTGAGTCTGCAGAAAGCCCTCAAGCACTTTTATATTTAAAAAATATACTTTTATTTTCAGAGGGAGGGAGGGGAGACCGGGGATCAAGCCCGCAATGTGGGAATGGAACTGTGACCTGGTTCATAGGTTGATGCTCAACCACTGAGCCTGCTGTCTGTGCCTGAGTACTTATTATTTTTTTAAGTAAACATTTTTACGGATTTCAGAGAGAGAGGAAGAGAGAGAGAAACATCAATGATGAGAGGACCACTGATTGGCCCACAACCTGGGCCTGTGCCCTTGACCAGACTCAAACGGGGAGCCTTCAGTTCGCAGACTGACACTCTCTCCACTGAGCCTAACCAGTTAGGGCTTGAGTACTTTTTAAACAGGGAGGCAGTTGATGTTTTTAAGCCCAGGTGGCTGGCTGTGGGTGTGCGCGGGTGAAAGGAGCGGATTAGGCTGTGGCGATTGGGGCTGGGCGGCTGGGAGAGGTGGGTGTGGGCCGCGGAGGGACAGTGGTGCCCTGTGCTCGGGGGAGACAGGTGGGGAACTACTTGGGGAGGAAGTGAGCTCTGTTTGGGCCACAAGTTTCTCACCGGCAGGCCGGGACGGGAAGTCCCAGCAGGACGTGGGAGACTTAGACAAGACTTAGACCTAAAGGGTGAGGGGGAAGTGGGCAGAGTGGGAGCTAAGGACAGGAGGGGGTGGGAGGGGGCGGGAGGGACGGGAGGAGGTCCGGAGGGAGGAGGGGAGGCTGTGACTGCTGAGGTGGAGAAGGAATCAGGAAGTCCTCACCCTCCTCTCGGCCCCTCGAGGCCCCACGCCCTAGATCGGGGAGTGCTCTGAGCAGCCCTTGGTCGGAGGGAGAGGAACTTCAGGGCAGGCCTGAGCCCCAGGGGAAAGCTCAGAAACTGGAGGGTGGAGGCTCTGGACTCACTGACGCCCTCCTGGGTGCATCCCAGGCATCCAGAGAGGGGCCCTTCCCGCCCCGCCTCAGCCTGGAATCCCGCCCAGCCTGCTCCTCCATTCCTGGGCGTCTGAGGCTTCGAGGAATGAAGCACGAGTGCCTGACTGGCCACGACAGTGGAGCCGGAAAGGAGGGCGCCAGCCTTAGAGGTTACACGTCAGCGTGGCCTTCCAAGCGTGCTTGACTGGTTACTTTGATGGACTCCTGTGTCACTGGGCTGGCCGCTCCCCTATAAAGCCTGTTGGGGTTCCGGGCACCCAGGCTCAGCCCACCCCTGACATTGGAGCCAGGAGACAGCCATGATGCTCGACTGGAAGCTGCTGGGGACGCTGCTGCTGTGCCTGTGCCTGGGAGGTGTGCTGGGACCGAGGCTGTGCATTTGGGGAGGGGAGAAGCAGGCGGCCCTAAGAAGGAGGGGTGAACTGGACGCATAGGGATTAGGGGTTCTGGGCATTCGCCTGAGGGGAGGAGTTAAGGGGTGTGAGGTGCGTGCAGCTCAGGGCATGTGTCTTGCTGGTTGGGAGGTAGCTCCGTGTGGCCGTTGCGCTCCGAGTTCAGTGTGCGGAGCTGAGGGCTGTGTGAGGGAGCGTGGAGGCCCGGGGGCCACTTGGGGGGCTGCAGACCAGCGTAGGGGCCAACCAGGGATGACCCAGTCAGGGCTGGATGGAGCTTGCTGGGGTTCCTCTCAGTTCAAAGGTCATGTTAATGTTTGGGACAGTTTCATGTCAGTTTAAGGTCACTCGGTGGTTTGTAAATGTGGGGGGTTATTTCTGAGTCTGTTTGCGGGCCGCTCAGGCTGTGGTGTGTCCCTGCTGCTGGCTGGGTCTGGTGCCGGCCCGCATCACCTCTCACCTTTCTCCTTCCTCCTCCATAGGCATCTCAGGCAGTGGAGACCACCCCTCCCCCCCACCCACAGAGGCTGGACAGGAGGAGGGCTCCCCAACATTGCCTCAGGGTGCCCCCATCCCCGGGGACCCCTGGCCAGGGGCACCCCCTATCTTTGAGGACCCTCCACCTCCAGGCCCCAGTCATCCCTTGAGAGACCCGCCTGAATCTGGAGTCTGGCCGCCCAAGCCTCCTAGAACGGACCCCCCTAAACCGCCCCTGCCTGACGACCCCTGGCCAGCAGGCCCCCAGCCACCTGAAAACCCCTGGCCTCCTGCCCCTGAGACAGACGGACCACGGGCCCCAGGGGGAGCCAGGCCTTGACCCTCCCCGGGACGAGTACTGATAGCCGGACCTCCCAGAGCGCCCAAGGCGCCTCTACCTCCTGCTTCCCCTGAATTAGCCTAACCCTTCTTCCTCCTCCCTCCCTCAGTTGTAGCTCAGGCATGAAGGTGCCCTCAGCACTTCCTTCCGCTCCTGAGAGCCATATTTAGCGCCCACATCCCCCCTCTGTTTTCTCTGACACACCCTTCTTCAGTCCAGTCCTCTTATACTTACTCCCTTTCTCCGCTTCCTGGGTCCCCTCACTGCTCTGTGCTCTCTGCTGCCACCTGGTGGCTTACACTAGAAACTCAGGCAATGGTGGTGCTTCCGTGAAATGGAAAAATAAAAAGCATGTTTCCTTAATTTTGAATCGATGTTTGATTCTTTGCCAGTGATGAGGTCTGTCCTCACAACCGCACCCCACGGACATTGGACATAACTGCAGCTCCTGGCTTGCCATGTGCTCCAGGATATGGGACTCAGATGCAGGGCGGCTGGAAGTGTAATGGACAAGGGGTTCAGACCTATCTGCATCCTAGGACCCTGATTTTGAAGAATGGAAGCCAAACTAAGCCTCTCTTCAGTAGCTCATAGTCTCACAGACCCCTGCTGGGACCCCGACGTTCCCTGGGCCATGTGCGGGAAGACCAATCAGTATTGTTCATCACAGTATTTGTAGTTTCCATCAATGGTGTCTTGTAATTATAAGCTCACTGCAGAATAACTTTTTAACACAGAGTCTATTTACTTACTTATTAAATATTTAAAATATATTTTATTGATTTTTCACAGAGAGGAAGGGAGATAGAGAACTAGAAACATCGATGAGAGAGATACATTGACCAGCTGCCTCCTGCACACCCCCCACCGGGGATGTGCCTGTAACCAATGTACATGCCCTTGACTGGAATCGAACCTGGGACCTTTCGGTCCCCAGGCCGACGCTCTATCCACTGAGTCAAACGGATTTCGGCTATTGAATAAATCTTTATTGCTCAGATTATTACAGTTGTTTCTCCTTTCCCCCCCTTAGCTCCCTTCCACCCGGTTCCCACCCCACCCTCTGCCCTTACCCCCCCCCCCCCATTGTCCTTATCCATAGGTGCATGATTTTAATCCAGTCTCTTCCTGCACCCCCCCACTCCTTTCCCCCTGATAACTATCAATCCCCACCCTTTCTTTGCCCTTGATTCTATTATAGCCACCAGTTTAATCTGTTCCTCAGATTTTTAATTCACTTGATTTTTAGATTCACTTGTTGATATATATTTTTTATCATAATTTTTATCTTTTTTTTCTTCTTCCTCTTCTTAAAGAATACCTTTCAGCATTTCATATAATACTGGTTTGGTGGTGGTGAACGCCTTTAGCTTTTTCTTCTCTGTGAAGCTTTTTATCTGCCCTTCAATTCTGAATGATAACTTTGCTGGATACAGTAATCTTTTTTTTTAATAATATATTTTATTGATTTTGTACAGAGAGAAAGGGAGAGAGATAGTTAGAAACATCAATGAGAGAGAGTCGATCAGTTGCCTCTTGCACACCTCCTACTGGGGATATGCCTGCAACCAATGTACATGCCCTTGACTGGAATCGAACCCAGGACCTTTCAGTCCCCACGCCAACACTCTATCCATTGAGCCAAACCTGTTTCGGCTGGATACAGTAATCTTGGTTGTAGGTTCTCACTATTCATCACTTTGAATGTTTCTTGCCACTCCCTCTGGCTTGCATAGTTTCTGTTGAGAAATCAGCTGACAATCGTATAGGTAACTAACTGCTTTTCTCTTGCTGCTTTTAATATTCTCTCTTTGTCTTTTGCTCTTGGCATTTTAATTATGATGTGTCTTCGTGTGGTCCTCTTTGGATTCCTTTTGTTTGGGGTTCTGTGCTCTTCCTGGACTTGTAAGTCTATTTCTTTCACCAGGTGGGGGAAGTTTTCTGTCACTATTTCTTCCAATATGTTTTTGGTATCTTGCTCTCTGTCATCTTCTGGCATCCCCACAATTCTGATGGTTTGCTTGAAGTTGTCCCAGAAGCTTCTTACACTATCTTCAACTTTCTGGATTCTCTTCTTGCTTCTGCAGAGGAGTGTCCTCTGGCTCTTTGTGTTCCAAATCTTTGACTTGATTCTTGCAATCTTCTGGTCTGTTTTTAGGACTCTGTATAATATTTTTTATTTCAGATCCCTTTTCATATCCTCAGAGGTCTTGTTTATTTTATCAGCCTTTTCTAGAAAATTCTTGAAAAACCTTATAACCATGGTTTTGAATTCTATATCCAGTCTTTTTTTCTCCTCCATCTCTTTCGTTTGAGATCTATTTCCTTGTCTCAGCATTTTCGCTGCTTCCCTGAGTTGGTAGGATGGCTTTGTGTGCTTGGTGTCCTATATGGCCCAGTGGGTCAGCCTCCCCAGTTACCTGAGGTAGACACTCTTGGTGCTCCCCTTTGTGGACTGCGTGTACAGCCTTGTTGTAGTTAAGTCTTGATTGTTGTTGGTATCCCTGGGAGGAATTGACCTCCAGGCCCATTGGATGTATCAGCTGTGTCTACTCTGGGATACCTTCTGTATTGGAGACAGTTTTATAGGATCAGACTTGCAAAATTACAAAAGCCTCTGTGCTCTGCTTGGATGGGGCCGAGTCTCAGGGCTGAGCCGACAGTCTTGGGTTCCCGTCAGCCCTGCCCTTGTGTGTGAGCCTCAGACCTCTGCCTTCCACGGCTCCCCTGGGTTTACCCTGACCGGCCCAGATTCCCCTGCAAGAGCGTGGGTGCCCCAGGGGCTCGCCCGGAATTGGGTTGGGTCTCTGTAGTCTGGAGCTTCAGACTCCTTCCGCTACGGAGAGGCTGCAGCAACCTCCGTGATCAGACCTCTCTGCTCGCACTCACTCGCGCACGACTGTAGACCCTGCCCGCTGCGGCTCCCGGCTCCCCCGGTCTCCCAGTCTCTGAGTCTCTGGGTGCCTTTCTCTACAGTCCGGACTCCACCCGTATGAGCCTGAGTCCCCGGGGTTTCGGCTGGGGTTGGGGGGGTCTGTCTCTTGAATGGTCCCTTATGAGAGTAGTTGAAATCTGGTGTCGTCTCACACCGACCACTAGATACACTAGTTTCCAGATCTCCAATGGAGAATTCAGCTACTGTCTGAGCCACCCAGCAGGAGCTACCGCAAGAACTACAGTTTTCTCCTGTTTGCTTGGGACTTGGCGGTTTTGTTGCTGGAGCCGCAGTTTATTTTGTTAAGCTGCCACAATACGGGCCATTTATATGCAAAAGCAGCTGTGTGGTGGGGCAAGGCTAACAACGATGGCTGCGGGCGGGGCCTCAGGGTGGGGCGGGGGATGTCACTAGGCTGGGGCATGGCTAACAACGATGGCTGCCTTCAGCCTTCTCTGCCCTCTGTATTTCCAAGTCCCCGTGTTTCCAAGTCCCTGCGTTTCCAAGTCCTCGCGTCCCTGAGATTGCTGCTTGCACCTCTGCAAGAGAGTCACCCTTACTTTCAGACCAGATGGCCAACAGACCCGCTTCTCCCCATAGGCGTCTGGGTCCCCCGCATGACCCCAGGAACTGGATTTCAAAGTGATCGGGAGCTTGTTTCCCTTGGGGTTGAAAAAAGCCTGTGCCCAGTCAGCCGCCACCAGCCCGATTCACATGCCTCCGTACCGAGGCTCCTCAGCTTTTCAGCACTTGCACTCCTTTCTCTTTCAGCCAGCCTTCCCGTGGTTCTGGGTGATAGATGTCCTGTATATTAGTTTTAATTTTTAAATTGTTGTGTGAGGCGGCAAACCAGTTGTTTACCTACACTGCCATCTTGGTTTTTCTTCACCCCCATAATTCTGATATTGGTACATTTGAAGTTGTCCCAGAGGCTTCTTACACTATCTTCAACTTTCTGTATTCTCTTCTTGCTTCTCCAGAGAAGTGTCCTTTGCCTCTTTGTATTCCAAATCTTTGACTAGATTCTTGTGTTCCTCTAGTCTGCTGTTGGGTCTCTGTATAATATTTTTTTATTTCAGTCAGTGTATGTTTAGTTTCTAGTTGGTCCTTTTTCATATCCTCGAGGGTCTTGTTAAATTTATCGGCCTTTTCTAGGAAATTCCTGAAATACCTTATAACCCTGGTTTTGAACTCTATATCCGGTCTTTTGTTATCCATCTCTTTCGTTTGAGATCTGTTTCCTTGACTCGGCATTTTTGCTGCTTCCCTGAGTTGGTAGGGTGGCTTTGTGAGTTTGGTGTCCTATATGTCCCAGTGGGTCAGCCTCCCAGTTGCCTGATGTGGACACTCTTGGTGCTCCCCTTTGTGGACTGTTTACAGCCTTGTTGTAGTTAAGTCTTGATTGTTGTTGGTATCACTGGGAGGAGTTGACCTCCAGACCTATTGGATGTGAGTATCAGCTGTGTCTACACCAGGATACCTTCTGTATTGGAGACAGTCTTATAGGATCAGACTTGCAAAACTGCAAAAGCCTCTGAGCACAGCTTGGATGGGGCGGAGTCTCAGGGCTGAGCTGACAGTCTTGTCTTCCCGTCAGTCCTGCCTTTGTGCTCACGCCTCAGACCTCTGCCTTCCACGATCCCCTGAGTTTCCGCCTGACAGTCCAGATTCCCCTTGTAAGAGCGTGGTGCCCCAGGGGCTCACCCAGAACTGGGTTTCAGTGCTCAGTGCAGGCGGAGCTGGGTATTCAGTGCAGTCAGGAGCTTAGACTCCTGCTATGGAGAGGCTACGGCAACCTCCGCAGTCAGACCTCTCTGTGTGCACTTACTCGCGCCCTGCGACTGCTGGCCCCCCCAGTCTCCCAGACTCTGAGTCTCCGGGTGCCTTTCTCTACAGTCCAGACTCCACCCGTATGAGTTGGGTCCACGGGGTTTCGGCTGGGGCTGGGGTTCAGTGCAGTCGGGGGCTTCCTTTCCCCTCCCGCCAGCCCGGCACCCAGCCGCCCTTCCTCTCTGCATGTGAGCATCTCCCTGCCTCAGCGCTTTGCGGCTCCCGATCCGATCTGTGAGCCTCTCTCCTTCTTTCTAGTTGTGGATTTCCCACTCCGCCAGCTCTCCTGTGGCTTTGGATGTTGTCTGCTCTGTTTTTTAGTTGTTGTTTTGAAATTGTTGTGCGAGGCGGCAGCTTAGGCGCTTACCTAGGCCGCCATCTTGGTTCTCTCCCCCACATAGAGTCTTATGTCACAGGATATACACTTCAATTTATATACAGATCTTTGTTACAGAGATATACAATTAGGGCTTTCCAAAAACACAATAAAATACACAGAAAGAGATACAATGAAAACATTTTATTAGGATAAAACTCTATAGGGAAAATGGAACAGGAAAAGGAACAGAAAAAAAAAAATGAAGTGAGGTAAGGTTTC